AATTGACGCTAAGAGATATGGTGGAATTCTCCAAGATAATGGCCATCTCAATTGGAGCATCAAGAAGTTTGAATACATGGAAAGCCTTTTGATGTGGCGCATAGCCACTGAAATATGCTACCTAAGTGGTCATCCAAGTAGCCACTGCGCCAGCTCTACCTCCACATCTGGGAGTCTTAATTACCGAGAAATATGCAAGTTGTTTTCAGATTATATGTTTTACTTGTTAGTGACAGAGCCCAGTATGATTCCCGGTTCACCACATGATGACATTTTGAAAGTCTTTCAGGGAGTACATTCCAGCGTTGCGACGAAACGGAAGTGGCCAGATGAAAAGGGATTCACAGAAACATCCGTTGTAAGTCTGGACAAGCTGTTGAACAAAGAAAAAATGGATGTGGAAATGTTATTGAGAAAAATAAACCCAGATATGGACAAGTTAGTCTTTGGAGAGATGGACAAACTAATGAGTGCTGAACAGAAAGAAGCCTTAATGGATGAGTTTTCTAGGGTGACTGCTGCGTGTTATCTAGCCAGAGAATTGCTCAAGCATCCCACTCCATGGGAGTTTTTTTTTTGAAAGGCAAAAAAAATTATATTTTTGAGTATAAGGAATACTCAAACCCATTTACATCAAAAAAGTATACTCTGACTCAAACGTTGCCTTGCCAATTGATGGCATATTGTATGGTCCCTTAAGAGATTTTACAACCGTTGGGATTTAGAATCCAATCCGAAAAAGTAAAACTTCCTCCTTTCCCTATATTTTTTATCCACAAAAAAGACCTCACTTGTATTTGATCAAACATCCGATCGATCCACATTCGCATGGCCCCCTTCGAATACTACCTCATTCCTGGTATTCCAAGTTGTCCATACCAAAGAGTACCAAACAGCAGTCCAGCCCAGTCGGTTATTTGCTTTGGATACCATGTCTTCATGCTGCATAAAAGAATCCCTACATGTTCCAGCTAGTACAGTGCTTAGACCCCACCATTGAATGCATTTTATCCAAATTGCTGAAGCAATTATACAATGGAGGAAAAGGTGGTCACCATCCTCCGCACATTTGTTGCATAACCCGCATGTAGTTGCTTCTATTTCTGTGACTATCCCTCTTTTGAACAGATTGAGCTTTGATGGAATCTTGTCATGCAATAATAACCACGCAAACCCACAAACTTTGTTAGGAATGTGACTGTTCCATAACCTTATAAATAATGATTCTTGTGATGAAGGTTGTTGATGGACAAGTTTGCTGTATCCTGATTTCGTTGTGTATAATCCCTTCCTCTCCGCCTTCCACTCCACGGGAGTTAATCAGTACAGTATGGGTAGAAATAGTATGCTATGCTGCTATTAATTGCAAACCAATTGTGCATGCAAGGCAAGGCAAGCAAGCAGATGGGGACAACTTCTCACTTTCGTTTGGATATTGATGAATCTCTTGGGATTAACTCGTCCAAAGGAATGGCGCACAGCAGAAGGGATAGAATACGATTTTTGACTACCAGATCACCTCAGCGACTCTCATGAAACCGTAAGTTTTCCCTTTTTTTTTTTTTCTTTTCTATGTTAATCCTGCAATTCGACTTGGGTGTGCTTCGGAACTGACTTCTTGATTGTCTATTGTTTAGTGCAATGTATTCTATATCATAAGGTTGTGTTAGTGTTTGGAAACTTGTATTTCAAATTTATGTAATCCAGAACTGAGTCAACCCCAAAGCATTTCCCCTTTATAAATCTAATTATGTCTACATCTCCATTAGCTCCATTCGCTTCAATTGTTATTAAATTATTGCTCTTAAAATCTAATAGAAAGTTAACAGTAACTGTTAAATTTTGTTTAATTTTTTAAAAATAAAAAATTGAGGTGATAAATTATGTCATCATTTTTTTTTGTGTGGCACTTTTAAGGTAAATTTGCATCTTTTGCCTCTTTTAATTATACTTTAGAGAAAGAAGGTATGGGGTACCTCCACCCATTAAAAAACATTAGAATCAATCCAACTACATAAATTTAATAGTAAATTTTTTTTTCTATATTTAATTTTTAACCAAGTCTCTCTCTTTCTTTTCATAACTAGTCTTTAACTAGTTTGATTCTAAGCTCTATGTGATCATCAGATTCTCAATAATCAAAATATTCTAGTTACTACTACAAATATGTTATTTTTTTCCTTGTCGCCTATTGACTTTTTTTTTTTTTAGCTAAATTGTGATTTTGTTTTCATTAAATGCCACTACAACCAGATGCACCTATACTGATGGAACTTTTCCATCTGTATACACCCTTTTTTCCATCAGTATAGACCCCCCGGGTCTATTCCAACGGAAGTCCTTTCAGTTGGTGCAAACCCCGTCAGTATAGGGTCTATACCGACGACAAATCCGTATGTATAGACCTTGGGATCTATTCCGATGGAAGATTTGTCCATTGGTATAGACCTTGAGAAATTTTAAGAGATTTTGCCATGGGTATAGACCTGACCTGTACAGATGGATAATTCCGTTGGTATAGACCCTTAAAAATTTTAAAAAAATTTGCCGTGGGTATAGACCTTGACCTTTACAGATGTATAATTCCGTTGGTATAGA